TAACCTTTAAATTTCAATTTTTACATATGTATATGTCATCTTCTCTATACATTAAATGGTTTATTTCAAGTTTTACAAGTTAAAATATTGATATTTTTTATGTGATATGCAAGATTTAAGTAGTTTATATGAAAAAAATAAAGATAATATATGAGAATTGGGCAGTATGTATGTAAATGCCCTAAACATCAATATAAAAATCAAAACTTTATATCATAGAAAAGTAAATTGCATTTTTTTGGTTATTTGAATCTCAAAATACGAGACAGTTTCTCCCAACGTTCATTGAACTTTAGTAGTGAAATAGCATTTGTTTAGTGCCTATAAGTTCTTGTGGGGTCTTTGATGCTCTGCTGCAACAACCACTGCAGCAATATTGTACCATCTGTAACTATTGATTTGAATGTTATTTTGACAAGTATTTTTTCTTCTCTTTACTGTTTTACATGTTTTACACATTTTACTTATTTTGAGCATCTTAAGACAAATAATCATGTCAAAAATACTGCAATAAGTCTTAATGAATAACTTTTTTCTTTTTTTCTTTTGGGAGATTTGCATACCTACCAGTTAGTTCTCATGTATTCACATGTTAAACGCCTAAACTTCAATTTTTACGTTATGAACCCCGACTTGTGTTGAAAACATAGGATACGAATGGTTCATACGTAAAAAGATTGAAGTTTGGGTGTTTAATATTGTTGAGTAATTAGGGCAAATAAGCACAAGAATCAATGAACACAAAAAAGAACATGCGGATTTAAAGAGATTCGGCAATTTGCCTGCGTCCCCGGAAGCAAGAGCTGCGACTTCCTGATTCTTGAAAAAACAGTACTTCCCATTAGGATTACAAATATAACATATACATGAATATATAAATATATATAGTATACAATATGTATTTGCAAAATTACCTTTGTATTGTACCACGGGGGCATTGCCCACGCTCCCCCAACCCATTTAACGTAACTCCCTCGATTGAACAGATGCTTCCGCTCATGAGCTTTGCTCTACTGGCTCACTCTGTTCCACTCCAACATCTATCCCTTACATGGTATATGAGTCATACCTAACAAATATGTTAATGCATAGGATTTGGGTGGCAGGTATATAAGGACCATTTTCTTTTTTTGGGGACATTTGAGAAAATTTAATGGCAAGCACACTCACATCGCATTTATAAGGTATTGAGCTCATGATGTTTCGGTTGACAGTCTAAGCTCTCGACCGGCAGACTAAAGGTTTATTAGGGACAATTTTTAGTTTGTTTTTTGTTTTGTTTCAAACAGCCATCACAATTTTATTTGGAGAACTATTATATTGTTGATTTCTAAAAATTCTGTTTTGAGCAGTTACTTTGTGCAGTCATATCTGTTAAAGTATAGCGGCTGTAACACATGAAGTTGTTTTCTCATTATCTTCCAAAGCTTTTTTGGATTTTTATCTCCTTTTTCGGCATGTGTAGTATTAGATTATGTTCCTAGCAGAATAACATACTTAGAACTCACTGAGTTTCGGTTGAATAACTAATATGAACTCGTAAGTGCTTAGGATCTTGTCCAGAAGTAAAAACCGAACAATAAAAAAAGAACACAACGATTTAACGAGGTTCAACAATATGTCTATGTCAATGAGCGGCAGCGGCTTTGTGATTTCATGAAAACAGTACATCCCCTTAGAGTTATTAATACAACATATATATAACCCTAGTATACAATATGTGATTACAAAATTAACTTTTACCGTACCGCAGACGCGTTGCCCTCGCACCCCCAACCCACTAAACAAAACTCTCCCAATTGAATAGATGCTTCCATTCCGCTACACTTGTGAACTCCGCTCCGCTTTAGCATCTATCTCTTATGAGATATTTGAGCCATATCTAAAAATCTTTATATAAAATGCAGTAAGTAATGGAGTGGGAAAACTATTGGCCGCAGAAAAGCTCAGCAGCAGCATGTGGAGCCACATGCTTATAGAAATACTCACTGCGGCCGAGTAAAGTCAGCTTTAACGGCTCCGAACAATTTAAATAATCAAACTAATTTATTATTTTATTATTGTTTGAAATGATTTTCAGAACCTCTGAAATGGTTTAATCATTTTGATTTAGGATTTTGAGTGGGAGAAGATGATCCTGGCCTTAATATAAAATTCGATAAGCTTAGTTTTTAATTTTGACTTATCAAATATTATCACTAAGTTTGAATATTTATGTTAGTAGTTGTATGATAGTCTGATAATTATCAGAATTTCTATTCTTTTGAGGTGATATAAAAGACTTGTGCATCGCATTGTGCATTGTGCATTGCGCTTTGATAACATTGATTCAAATATAATAAGGATTCCCTATAACATGCATTCCTTATATTTATAATAAAATGGACATAGATGAGATAATTTTTAAAGTTCTCTATGCTCAGATTTGTCAAACATCTAAAAAATGTTCAATTTTGATGACGATCCTTAACCCACAACACTTTCTATCCGAAGTGCCCACGTGATGTATTTGAAAGTTTGAAAACCTTCTCAAAAATATTATAATTACATTGTAAAAGAATGCATTCTAGAAGGCAATCCTAGTATGAAACTGTAGGAAATACCAGATAAATGATGGTTCTCAGGCCACTCCCTGGAATGCATAAAACGTCCGCAACCCTTTGAAAAAGAAACCCAATACTTTGCAATATCAATGACACGAATTCATGTTAAAAATATTTACAAAGAAAATTGAAATGAGTTTAGTTGTTATATATATTTAGTAAAATAATTTTAAGGTATCTTCTGAATTTTTCTTTATTATCGGTTAAATTTCTTACAAGATATAAACTAGCAAAAGGTGATTCACAGAGCGTCACAAGATTAAAAAGGAGAACCGTAAATGTGAGATACCATGAATATAAGTTATTCAAATTTATCTCCCAAGAACAAGTTAACAATTTGACAATCCTCAAAAATATTGAATTAATAACTAGAATTTGAAAAAAGGACCCTAAATAGTTGAAATAAGGCAAATTATAGATCAGCTTGAATTCTTAAAATACTTTTATAGATGCTAAATGACACAACATTAGGATTTCCTATTGCAACTAAGATGATACGTGGGCTTTCATGTGATAGAAAAATTGATGATTTATAAAGCACAAGTAACAAAAATATAATTCAAGAACTCACTTTATTTAAGTAAAAAAAAAAGTACTAGAATTTAAGACTAATTAATGATGAAATCATAAAAAATACCAAAAAATTATAGCAATAAATGGACAACAAAGTAAATCAAAAAGAAAATTGTTAGAATTCACAAATTTTGACTTCCTATATATCACTTTTTAATCAAAAAGATCAATAAATAAGTAAATAATTAATTATGAATATGAAAGAGAAGGAAGTATAAAAATCCCTATGAAAAAAACGAGAAATCCCCTGTACACACACACACACACACACACTATATATATATATATATATATATATATATAACATATCCAGCTAACTTAATAGTGTATTTGGAGTCTTAATTCAGGGAGGTGGTGAGCAAATACTGCACGGAAGTTCGCCGGCTCGGCTTCATCCTCCTCGGCTTTGTGTCTCTCAGCCTCGGCCTGGAGCAGGATTATATAAAGACAGCACTAGGCGATCAAGAGCAGCACATGGCCATCAACTACTACCCTCCCTGTCCCCAACCGGAGCTCACATATGGTCTCCCATCCCACACTGATCCCAACGCCCTCACCATTCTCCTCCAAGACCCTGTCGTCCCCGGCCTTCAAGTCCTCCGAGCCGGCAAGTGGATCGCCGTCCAACCCCATCCTGACGCCTTTGTCGTCAACATCGGCGACCAGCTGCAGGTATTTATCCAACACTAACTCTCCAACCATATGGAGTTGGCTAATTTGGAGCTGAACAAGCCCCTTTTATTGATGAAAAAATATTACATCCCAGATGCATTCGGAGTTCAATAGTGGGCATCATGTGTCAAGTGAACTCTACTACTAGTGCACTGCTGTGGGGCCTACTTGAAACATACCCATCATTAAACTTCGGATGCAAATTAGGCCTAGATAATGAGTGCCAACCAAATATGTTGTCTTTTTGCATATATACCTCAAATTCTTGTGTATTT